CACGACAGCATCGCCGGTCAAAAAAATTAATATATTATTACAATTGTATTTTGATAAATTTATGACACCATTTGAATAAGACAGCACAATTTCTCGGTTCACAAACTTAACTCAACAAAATTTTTCAACCTACCTCTGATAAGATCATAACAAAATATAATTTGTTAAACCAACATTATTTTATTGAACAATACTTTGTTTGTAAAACGAATTTTTGAGGGCATATGATTTGATTTCATGGCATGATTTATTAAACGAATATTTGTGAGTTTGAACAAACTAACATATAATGTCGGGAGGGTTTAACCTTCCTCAATCTTGCGTAACTCATAGATAGTCGTATAGTTTCATGTGTGAACCAAGTAATTTATGATCCAGTAAAAGATGGAAATTGAAATATATATACACATTTTAAGATAAATTCTCATTTTAGAAATATGACAAAATTTTAAAAATACTGCAGAACAAACAGACTAAATTGCAAGGTTTTCGGTCAAGCATAAACTTATTATTTTTATTGATAGGTGTTTTTAATGAAATGCATGATGCGTTTGATGCATGAATGATGGACTAAATAAATCGATCTATTTATGGTAATTTTTACCTGGTACATCAGTTGAACTAGCTTGAATGAACTATAAATACCCGTAAAATCATTAGAGTAAATTTTGAAACATACATTTATGCAAACTATGTGACGAACTCTCGCATATTTTGTGCATCGTATAGCGCCAGAATTCTGAGTAGTACGTCACAAATGGTACATTTTAATAGAAAGTGACGTAACGAAAATTAATAATTTAGCCTTAATTTATAATTAAAACAATAATTAACCATATCAAAACAGTTTCAAGGCTGTGCACGTTTCATCCATTGATATATATTTTCTGTCAAATATCATCGGAAAACTAAATCTGTGTAGTTTCAAAATCAAACATGTATAGCCTATGTAAACATTTCTCTAATCCCATAATTTCAATATTGTTTATGCCATTCAGTCAATTTATATTGATAAAATGACTTATATTTATTTATGTGTTTGAATAAATCTCAGCAAAGTTTTCATTTTTATGAGAAAAAAAATTGAAGTGATTCAATAATTATTATTGTTAAGACTGTTGTAAGGCTTAGTGAAATAATGGGAAAATTCTCACCTAAATTAGCTTAAATTAGATTATTGATTCCGGTTTCTTCAGAGAAATTTGTCCCAGAAAGCTTTAAATTGAAGTTTAATACACTCTGTGACATCTCGGATCCCTATCCTGAAATGGAAAATCTTTGCCTACACACAAGCCTATACTACGAATGAATATTTTTGACAAATTTAAAATGGAAAATCCCGTATAATTGGTAGGGATGGGACGAGTCCGGCATTACAAAGATTCGACGAATCCGAGTAATAGGTCAAGGAATCGAATCGAATCTGCCGAGTCCGTGACGTCATAATGGAATAGCACAAAAACGTGTTTTAGACCATGCTACAGCATCGTGCGCTCACAAACATACGTCGTAGCTCATATTTTTTGCCTAATGGTTCCGCAGATAGCTGTTGAGTCATTTTAAATATATATTTTTTCTCTTTTTAGGCGGCCATAATACAAACGTAAACGTGGTCAATGTGCGCCTTGGCTGTGAACTGGATTTCCAGCCCACCTTGCGTCAATTCTGGGTAGCTATTCAGAAATTCTTACATGTCAACATGAACAATAAAAAGCGTTCGACTACAATGCTTTCCCATAATTCCAAATATTTCTAGCCGTAAATTTACTATGTCATGTGCGCATATGGTAGAGAAATACCACTCGTCGTCAATACAATGTAGTACATCTACTTGCAATTTAGTAGTTCATGTAAACGTTCTAAAACTCTCCATCCTTTCCATTGCCTTTTTAGCGAAAGGATTCCACGCAATAAACTCGATTTAAAAGAGGTATTGATGAGATTCCCTATTGGGTAGATCCAGAACATGTTTCATTTTTACGCAAATCAAAAACTCAAAAATATTGCAATACCACATATTTTATTGTGTACCACATGTATACCAAAAAGAATAGATAGTTTGAAGGCGACTGGCGCAACATCATTGCTATGAGCGATCAATAGTTTTCAACTATCATTATATTATCTGGATATCTGTCGTCGTTTTATTAGGAGTGTTTATATTGCACACGAAGGATATTGTTACAGATCTAACCTTGAATTTTACTAGTTAAGGTATGTAGTGGGATTTATAGAGGCAAAAGTACAAAAATAGGCGTAAATTAGTAAAAACAGAATTGATTATGGACTCGGTAAAAACGACGTGGACTCGAAATCGAATCCGATTCCAAAAAATGCCTGGATTCGACTCGAATCCGAGTCCGGATCCGAATCCCGGCCCATCCCTAATAATTGGTCGAAATTAAATTCGGATTTTCATGACTTCACTCATCGGTGACATTTAGCTTTGTTTGCTTATTGTATGAAGACATTAAAAAATCCTACGATTCTAGCTTTTCATGCATACACTATACCCCAGTGGTCCCTATTTTTTTTTGTTAAATTCCTCCCTAGGCCTATTTTGAAACTCTTTATTCTTCCCTCACTGAGCATCTAAATTGAAAAAAAAAATTATATATTCAATCTTTATTTGGTCCTTCTAGTGTTATGTGCAAGTTTCACTTCTGCTTTTGTACAGTTTGAGTAGTTTATAATGTTTGCACAGATAATAAAGAGCTAAAAATTATTTAATAATAACACTACAGCAAATACAACGCAAAATTCTTCCGCAAGAACGACAAAACTTCTGTCTGCGTCGGGAAATTCTTCCATAACTGGGAAACGAATCACTACTGTATTAAAAAATTTTTTTTGTCAAACTATACTAAATTAACCCCAAATTCCTATTGTTTTACTGTAGTTTCAACGATCTGCGAACTTTTATAGTACAAGAAGTTTGAGCTGAATGTTGCTACACGATAACATGCATTTGAAAGATTGCATGTCTTGCGTCATCAATATTTACCGGCATCTATATCACAAGAATGTATATGTTCCATAGAATCTAATATAAAATTACTATTTATTATATATATTATAGCAATCCTGCACATAAAAAATCATACTATGGCAGCAGATATTTTAAACAAAAGTACTATAGCAGGCTAAATTAATTATCTGGTTGTAACGGTAATATTATCACTATGAATGGTGTATTTTATGTTAAAATACCTTCATATTAAACAAACCCTAAGTCTTCGTAATCTAAGTACGAGTGTGTAGCGGAAGTTCACTAAATTTAAATTTACAATTCTTGAAACATCCTGATGTAACTGGCATCAATACACAAAACAACTACTTTCTGCAAAAAAATTTTTTTAAAGGCGGTTGTAACTAATGGCGTTTACATGGTGCTTTTGGCTCCAGGCAAAATTAGCAGGAATGTCGAAAACCTGATTACCTTGTTAGTAGTTACCGACAAAAACATTTTTAAGCATTCCTAAAATCAAATTTTCTACCTGGGTTATTGAATTGTTTCGTGAATTTTAAATAACTAGTAGCTATGATTCTGGTTTATACGTGAAGGATATAACAAAAGTATTTCCTATAGATATTACAAAAAAAATTCAGAAAACGCAAAGCCAACACTTTGATACATTAGAGATTAGACAGTTCTGGCTTATTCTCAATAGATTGGGATGGGAATATTCAGCGAGTGAATATTCAATATTTTATGCCATTCAAAGAAAACAGTTATTTTAATTTTGTCTGGATTCTAGAACACAATAAACTGAGCATGTGACAAAAGTATGCCGTCGTATCAACATTTCGGTTCATTTTTGTTTGTCTTGACCATTGCCAGTATTCCCCCTAGCTCTGTTGTGTGTAAGATATAAATCACGGTTGGTCATATAAGTATTTTCTGGTTTATTAATGTATACGCGTTAATTTTGCGTAAGTATAAGTTAAACGTTTTTGTCTGGTAGGTATACTGACAATAAATGAGTGAGAGCTCACGTCCAACTGTGTTTGACGCCTGGAAACTACTTGATGGGGCATGCTCCGAAAGTTGAGAAGAACACAGCTGTCAATTATAAAAACTTAAAAAAAAGCACAGTTATGCAATATTTTGGTGGGAATAATTTTTGCAGTTTGAAAGTCAATTAGAAGCTAATCTTTTTATTTCTTGCACACGGTCTAGATTCTAGAACATTTAGAGCTTAGCTGAAAGCTAGTCCAGAACCAATGATTTTTGTAAATTTTTATTTTAATTCGATGAAGTAGTCAATCGTTGCAGCATCATCCTTGTGAGCAATACTGTGCGCGAGGGTGTATCATTAATTTGTGTGGATGAAATGCGCCTTCAGAGGGTAGATAAATCATACTGTCTCGAAAACATTTTCTTGATGGAATGTAAAAATCGTATGTTTTATATATGACTGAAGCTGTAGATAAGTGAATAGGAATAGTCTTATTGCTATCAACATGATATATATATATATATAATGTTGCACAAGTCCAATATTTGCCCCGACTTGTCCAATATTTGTCAAAGTACCATGCACTCATAGTCCAAATGATATGCAAACCTGAAGTTAAAAAAAAAAACTGAAGTTTAAGTCCCAAGAGTTTAGCTTGTTGTGTAATATTTGTATGGAAAAGTTTCCAAATATTTTTTCTGTTCATTAGGTATGTCTTAAAACACCACTTATATGAGAGTTTCACCAGATTTGTTTGTTGAATTAGCAGACACAAGTTTGTCGAATAATGATTTAGTGAGTGTAGTGGTTGCTAGTTCTGAACCGTTTATAATAAAATTAAATTGTTTTAATTAATTTTTATTCTCTCATGCTTGTAGAGAAGTGGTCTCGTGTCTACCACGTGATTGTGCATTATCTTTGCTTCTCCATATTGTTGAATATAAGAATTGTTTGGGCCTACCACTTTTTGTCTTGTTATCTTTCCTGCTTTTGAAATTTGAATCTTTATTAGTAATCTGTTTGGCTGTATATCAAAAAGCTTACCTTATGCACACATCTGCAGGTATTTCAGGAGAATTTATTCAATTGCATAGATATTAATTGTAGTATTGAATCAAATGAAAGCTATCAGAATTTGTTGTAATTAGTATGAGAACTGGTTATTTTTCTGCACAATCATTTTGTACAATAAAAGTAATCCATCTAGTACACCCTACAAATATTTTTGTACACCCTACAAAGATTTTTACGATATTTCAAACAAAATTTCACTTTAAGTAAATTAAATCAACATCATTTTATCTGCACAAACTCAGAAAATATTTGAATATAGTTCCAGAATTGTCAAAATCTCTGCTGACTGGATGCCATTCACAAATAATATTTATTCGAGTCCTTCTGGTAAAGCAATAGATTTTGGAATCTCCCAGGAAAATCCCCCTCGGCCAAAATGTCCGTAAGCACATGTATTTTTGAATATCGGCTGCATTAACTTGAGTTCTCTGGGAAAGAATGTTATGTAATGCATTAGATTAGATTTTACCAGGGCGACCTGGGTGAATACTATATAGTTCAGTTATCCTAAGGATTACGGGACTCGCTCGGTTGCAACGAAGACTTTCATACACAGGTAAATTGTTCAATGAAAACTAATACACGAGTTTCAGGCTTTCTCAAATGTAAGAGTAAGAAATTAAAAGAGAAAAAATTAGACGACATACGCGCATCATGTATCAGTTATATATATATATTTTATTCACACTCACTTAATTATATGTCCAGGTCTGAGATCAAAATTATGCAAAACAATATCATGCAGTTGTTTATCCGTATATTTAGAAGTTCCGTAACTGTACACGTACACTGCCATAGGTTGTGCAATGCCAATAGCATATGCCACCTGAAAATAAATTATTGCCTAAATAACTTCAATGCCGTTACAAAAGAAAACTTCCATCTATGCAGTTAGGATTCTTTGGTTCAGTTACGTTTGAAATATCTAACATTCTAAGTATCTTGTCCGCTGGTCTTGTCAAAAGGCCATTTACCATGCTCGAGTAGATTGTTTGTAAGGAGGTTGTCTTACACAAGATCTGGACCTGATACATATATATGAGTAAATTCTAGATATATTAATTCTTTATTCTACAATTTCTACAGAATATCCACTATACCTGAACAAGCAAACGTTTGCAGATTCCTGCCGCTGTCAATGATTTCGCCACCCATCTAGCTGCATAAGCTGCTGATCTGTCAACCTTTGTCGGATCTTTACCCGAAAAAGCTCCTCCGCCGTGTGCACCCCATCCTCCATACGTATCCACTATGATTTTCCGCCCTGTTAAACCTGCATCACCCTGAGGAATGAATTCAAATATATAAAGTAAATATTACAATTAATACGAGCATGTTAGCACTTTATCAACCCCAGGAGCGTTGTCGAAGCCATGTACTAAATTTATTAAGTAGGTGAACAGCATTTTCTTGAAACGCTCACCTTCCAGAGTCATAACGTGATGCAAATTAGGAATTGTATTTTCAAAACGATGGACAACGAGTTTTCAAAGTAGAAATCTACTTCTCATACATAATTTTTAGCCATATGTCTTGAAAATTAACAACGGATGATACAATTTCTATAATATTACAGACTCCAACAAGAAACAAGCGAATTCTTTAACCAAGCATGATTACGGTGAAACAGTGGCCAAATATCCGAATCTTAAATTAGTTAAAAAATCAATCAAAAATTATGTTTGAGCAATGGAATATTTTAATAAAGTGGTCACACTTTTGCAGGTGCAAAGTAGGAATGTTCAGAATTTTGCAACCAAACAGTGTACAGGGAGTCCTCGGGTTACGACGGTCGCGACTTACGCTGTTTCGAGGTTGCGAACGCACTTCCAAAATAATATAGAATATAATTCTGTACTGTAATATTTAAGCCCTCAAACTGGATAATTGTGATCAAGAAAATCAGTGCTTTGGGCTCATAGGTCTTCCTCATTTACATCGTACTTTTTGCAATATTTGTACATTTTATAACAGTACCATACTTTACTACGATACAGTACGATGTGTATAGAGTAATTCATGCACTGTACCAATGTACAGTATAATGTTCCGACTTACACTGAAATTCGGGTTACACCGCTTCTCAAGAACGGAACAACGTCGGAAGTCGAGGACTCCCTGTATGCATATTATGCCTGTAAAATCGTGCACTTCACCACTTATGGGTATTTCGTAAACCTGGACACGTTTCAGATTCCATAGATAGTATTTGAACAGTTTTCAAACATTTTTCTGTCTCCAATAACTTATTATCTGCAATATAACGAACTACAGCGACTGTGAAACATTGACTTGTTGCTGACTCTTGTCATCATTCGCATAATTTATGTCACCAGATGGTGTGCTGTTTCGTCAGATATTTTAATTGTTGACTTTGACTCTCTTTGGCATCATGCGGTTCATAGTTACATCCTGGCTATTGACTATTTACCAATGATAAGCCCTGGCCCTTCTACAATGGCAGAGGTGAACATACTCTGACGACGTTATTTATTCATGTCCCCTGGATTCTTTTTATTTCATGCTCGAATTCAGTTCAATAGTGTTTAATTCAACCGCTATGCCCTAATCGAACAATAGTTAATATAGAATACCGATGCGACGGTAAATATATTAACTTAGCGATTCATTGTCGCAATATAATAAACATGAGATAACTCAGTTATGAAAAATAGACTGGCGCTGATTGCGAATTATTATTCAAAAGGTATTCCTTCCCAACAAAAGTATGATTACACGAATTAGATTCAAAGAGACGTAAAATAAAAATGGGAAATTTTACATACCTGAGGCCCACCAACAGTAAACTTTCCTGATGGTTGAATGTGATAAACAGTTTTATTGTCCAAATATTTGCTCGGAACAACCACCTTGACAACCTGCAACAGTTGGACAACCACATTGTTCATTTGTTGTCTCATGAAATAAGGAGTTATAAAATGTAAAATTTTGCTTCAAATATATTCGTGGTATGAGTTTTGATTAAAGCCTCAAAAAAGAGCGCATAAGAATTTTAATTATTTAGAAAATTGTATTGGAGTTTACAAATTTGGTGACGTATAATGCAACCCCCATTCGTATACATATCCAGCTATAAAACGGCATCGGCAAATAGTTTTATATATAATTCATATTTCATCTCAATTCTTGCCTTGTCCATAATTTCTTTTCTCAGTTCAGATATCTCGACATCCGGAGCATGTTGTGCGGAAATAACAATTGTGTGAACGCGTAAGGGTATAATTGCTCCATCCACTACCTGATGTTCAACAGTAACCTGAACCGGAAACAAAAAAACCCACCTTAACAAGCAAAAGTTTCGTTAAGCAGAAGTTTCGTATATTTTACATTGTATATCAAACAAGTAACAAATCATAAAATCCTACAGATAATAATTTTTGAAAACCCAAAAATGATTTTCTGTGGTGTTAGTGATCGATGGCAATTAGACGTTTTTGGGCTTTACCGCTTCATTTGAAAAATAATTGAACACATGAAGTTAGATATTTCTTTATATTTGTCTCTTTACCTGTGTTTTTGAGTCAGGTCGTAACCATGGTAAAGATCCGTTACGACGTAGTTCAGATAATTTTTGATTCAACTTATGAGCGAGAACTACAGTTAATGGCATCATTTCTTCGGTTTCGTCAGTTGCATATCCGAACATTAGGCCTTGATCACCAGCCCCAATATTATCATCATCCCTCTCTCTATGAACTGCATCAGCGATTTCATCAATTTGTTCTTCCAACGCAATTAAAACATTGCAAGTTTTGTAGTCAAAGCCTACAAGGTAGAGGTAAATTGAAGTATTAGCAAAAATGTGTCTAAGAGTCGAATAAAACGATATTCCGTTCTCAAAATGGCGCGAATGTTTCAACCAACTTTATCAAATCGCAAGTCAGAATAAGATAGTAATAGAACCGAAGTTACCGAGTTTTATCCCGGCGGAGAGGAATTCCGTTGACAATGACAAAGATCAATTATATGGCCAACCACGGCCTTTCGTCCAGTTACCAGTTCATGTTGAGTATGGGCTTAGTTAGCCAGTTATTTGTTTTCAGGAGCATGAACGTGATGGCTGAGTAAGCCGTAACCTACCAGCGGTCACGTGAACCACCCTACAGCGGCGGCGAGGAGTCGGGTAATCATCTCGCACAAAATTAACCCCAGATGGGATTCGAATATCGCGTATTCCTAACGATTAGCACGATGCGCCACACCGTCGAGCCAGACAGCAAACCAATGGGAAATCATTTGTGATATTAATAAAAAACGATTACCGGAATGAAAATATACTAAATATAGTGTCACGCAAAAATTCCGTGTTATGAAAAAATGATTTTATTTAAATATTTGTTGTTTATAGTAAACTTTTTGGAAACCAACCTTTTTCTGAATCATCGTATCCAATCTCTTTGATTGTTTCCCTAATTATTTTTTGGTAATCCACAACGGCAGTAGATGTAATTTCTCCGCCAACCAGAACCATACCAGTTTTTGCAAAAGTCTCTGGAGAACGAAAATATTCTATCTTTCGTGTGATAAATAGATGTAATGAAATCGAGTGCATTTCGTCTTTCCTGATGTTACTACATAAACACTCGCGTACTAAGATGTCGATAACTAATCAAAAATATTATAATTATGCTAACTAACCATATATACTATTCCTTTAGAGTTTAGACTTTCCGAAAATTAAAAAGTGATGAAACATGTTTTTCGGTGGACATAGTTTAGTTAACCCCAGGGTATTTCGCCAAAACTAGCCAGTTCTAATATAATTTATCCCAGTTTCACGCTTGATTGGGACATTTCCATGCCCAATTGGAAAACTATTATTCTCATAGGATACACATGCTTTTTCATGTGCAAGAACAAATACGAAATATTTTATTTGAATGTGAATCGATATAAGTTCTAAAATTGATATACTAAATAGCATTACTTACCGCATGCTACCTTTGCCCGCGGGTCTTGTTTTAAATGAGCATCGAGGATGGTATCGCTAATGAGGTCACACATTTTATCTTAATGGCAATAAAAAGAAGAATTAAACAAACCATCAAATATTCAGTATTGCAAATGGGAAGCAACAAATTTTACCTGGATGGCCTTCACCAACTGACTCGGAAGTGAATAAAAACGAGTCTCCATGACTCCCGTGGTGTTCTGAAGGGCCAGTGCTGCAATTCCTCAGAGACATTATTATTTACAACTACCAAAGTAAGTTAACTGCGTGATTGTGTGAAAAATACAATATAAAATTCTATCCACTGGAAGAAGTTTAGGTTAGCGATAATCGCCAATCAATAAAACAATCGGGCTTTGTAACCCATATGTCTTCGTCGTAGAACAAACTATCATCTCATAACGTACAATTCTGAATGCCTGCAGAATCCCCACATGTTTTAGATGAGTATTCATTTCTTTAGTCATTGATTAACTATGCGCTAACCTTCCTATTCTTGCAGTGTACTTTATTCTCGGGCGCGATAATAAAAACCACTGGAACACGTATTCTAGACCTATAGACAAACAAAGCTTGCAAAAGAGTGCTTACACGTTTTGTTTGCTTTGCATAGCGCAACGCTAAGCCCTTTTCAATAATTCTCTAGCAATCGAGTAAGTAATATGCACAAGTGGTTGGAGGAACCTTTTTGGGAACGTTTGGCGTATTAATGTACATAATTTATCAGTACTTCATGCAAAAAGGAGTCACAATATAATAAAACTGTGGTAAATTCTTACTTACGAAATCTGCCCAAATGAAGTTAACATTGTTATAAGATAACGAACAAGTTAAAAAAAATAAAGGGTTACCGGTATACAATGAACTCGATCTATAAAAACCTAATGTCATTTTATAAATGTCGAGTTCGACAGAAGATTAATACAATCTGAGTGGGTATCCGATCTTGATTCGAAATGGTGCTATCGTTCTAAGTTTAAACACAGAACTTTTCGCAGATGTAATAGGCTATGTAAAGAAATAGATTTATTAGACTGGAACTAAATGTTTGTGATTCGTGAATAATATTTGAAGAATCAAGAATCGGTTTATCAGCAATACAGCACAAAAGCCATAAACAGAAACCAATGGTATCCCTGCCTCAATGCTATAGATATGCTGTTTACATTGTTATAAACATTCAACGAGAGGGGAAAATGTTTTTCCCGTCTTGCGAAACCTTCGCAAAGCAGGTCCTCGCAGTCTGCGTTCCTATATTAATTCTGGAAATTATAGTATCAGTGTTTTCTGGTGACCCGCTCCAATGGGAAAATACTTTCAATGACGAAGCACAGAGTGCGTATTATGTTATTTACGGAGTCATATATATTTATACAAATTACGCAACGGTCCGCGAATCGAAATTTGCTACATAAGAGAAATTTGGGGATTATTTATGTTGTTAAGGTTTTAGTTAGGATTTTGTATAGAGCTGAATCGGCCCATGGGCGAATCCCGCTCATTGGGTACTTCAATCTGGCCTGCCTGATGCTGCCACAACCGAACTAAAATCAATTTTGATGTTGTAGTTGAAAAATAGCTCAAGGAATTTATTGAGATTGCGATTAAATTTATTTTTGGTACGAGGCTGGTCCCAGTCTAGGTGAGCAAAATTTTTGACCTTTGGTCCAACAGCTTTGCCCACCCCTGGTATAATGTCAATAGACGGTCAGATACCAGTTTCGTTTGAATGAAAAAAGTGGTCGTGGGTGCGCCAGATCCAAGAAACAAAAACTAGCTTGTCGGCAAAAATAATTTCTTTCTGGCTCTGTAAAAAAATGCAAATGTATAAGTTTTACGACCGCATCGGGGTTGTTAAAATTTTTGGAATATCGTTTGCATATATTCGCGGTAGTATTGCCGCTAGTAAGTGTCACAGTTTTGATTTTGCTACTGTGGTTGTAAATAAGTCAGAAGACTCAAAGATTTCGGATTGTTTGTTTATTGTATACAGCAACTCCACAAATAACACCTAAAATAATCACAATATACAGAACACAACAAATAGCAGCCGTCTTGCAGCCCTTACAAACCAGAAGAGGAACCAGATATATATTTTTTTTTCTCTCGCACGTGTAACGAACGGGTGGTCAGACCCGGTTAAAACCGCCTGAATCAAAGGTCTGGTAAATAGCATACAGTGAAATACAAAAAAAAATATATATATATATATTAACACAACACAAACACGGACATTGTGGTCCGTGACAGAGCTCACCTGTAATGTAGCGGTCCCCAGTGGGTTTGTCGTGGCGAGTCGCCAAATGCGCCGCGAAAACTAACAGAATTGTGTTAAACATACCTAAAATATGATTGAATATTTTACATATTTGATTTATTATTAACGTTTTTTCAATTTGAATGCTGTGTATATGAATTAACAAATTCATTTTACCTTTCTATGTCGTTTACTTTCCATTACGTGGTGTTTGCCTCTAACGTCACGTCTAATGGAGATAGAAGAATTGCTGCAACTTCGCGAGCTGCAGTTTATTTATCTGCTGAATCGAGTTTAGTGAACATGAGTATCTTTTCAGCATTTCAAAGTAAAACCAGGCAAAGATGGCGGAAGAACAGTTGTCCATTTGCCTTTATTCTTTAGACCTGTTTGATTGCTGCAAACATGATAATGAAATTAGCAGTCAAAAAGCTAGGCCGACGGTTGACAAAAATGCCACTACCCTACCTTAGTTAGTCCGCTTTAGGCCGACGGTGACGCGATATTGAACGATCAGTTCGGCGACAACTTCACGATCTCTTGATCGCCATGGCGACCCATTTAGACGTATTTTTGATTTATTTTCCACGGAACACTCGGAAGACTCTCGCGGGACACAGTTTGGGAAACGCTGAACTAGAGAAATATTTACCCGAGAAGTTCTAACATAGTATTACAAGTAAAAAATAAAGTCGTCATGAATGAAATATAAAATATAATATAACACAAGAGAGCTGTGCTCAAATATATGGACACGTCACAAGGTGTCGCTTTTTTTATCCTGACACATAAAAAAAGGAATATCTTGAAGTCTACAGAAATTTTTGAAATAAGTAAAAGTAATAGCCTTCTGGAATAAAAAAACAATCTTTAACCACTGAAAATTTCAAAGAAATTGGTCCATTATTCGGAGAGAAAAGCGATTTCATCATGCTAAAGAGAAGAATAATACTAATAATAACAAGAACAACAACATAATTTTGTGCTTTCATAGCAGATATTATAAAAATCACTTTAAACTCGAATTCTAAAGAATCAAAATTGGACACGATCTTACAAATAATTAAAACGACGCATAAAAATATTGGGATGATTTTAGATAGGCAGAAACTTGTTTCCTTAGTTAATCTGGAATAATGGTAATTTCACTAATGCAATGGAACTGCAGGGACATATATAGAAAAATACACGAATTCAAACATTAAATAGATACCTTGTCTTCAAAGTCAAATGTTTTTTTGCTCCAAGAGACCTTTTTATCTAGCAAATACACGGCTGTTTTATATGGTTATACGTTAATTAGACAAGATCGGAACACTTTTGGTGGAGGGCTATGCATGTTCGTGGATGACTCGTTACCATACACTCCCCTGTCGTTAACCACATATCGGGAAATAGAGATACAAGGTATTGTTGTCGGAAGTATCAAGATTGTTAATAAATATATTCCGCCGGATGCACACCTTGATGAACATGAATTCGTGTCAGTATTCGTACAACTACACTCAAACACACTCGTATTGGGAGATTTCAACTCACACCACACACTCTGGGGCAGTTCATACTGCAGCACATCTGGGCGTATACTTTCTAAGTTGATTGACCTACATTCCTATGTTGTTCTGAATACTTGTCCGACTAGAATATCCATCTCAATGCTAGTAATCATAGTTCGCTATTAGACCTCTCTCTCGCCAGTGCTAATATTGCACACAGATGCGTCACTCGTGTATTAGACGAACTAATCGGGAGCAACCATTACATAATTACAACATCTGTTGATCATTAGGATGTCAATGTCAGACCAATTCAAACCAAATTGGGCATTCAAACGAGCAAACTGGGATACTTATATATCAGATGTAATAAAATCTGAAGACTTTGAAGAATTTTGCGACAATTTCACAAATTCGCTTGTTACGGTAGCTAGAATGTCTATCCCCAAAACTAAACCCTATAAAAAACCAGCAACCCCTTGGTGGAATGATGAATAATCCAAACTTATAAGACTGAAACGAAGTAGTCCGGCAGAATCGGGCCTCAACATTGTTTTGGGACATAAAGTTTTTTTTATTGTTTAGATATAATGTATATGACATATATAATGATACCCTATAATGTTGAGCATTTTTTTTTAAGTGGATTCCAAAGTATTCGGTCCAAGATGACGCACATCCTTAACCCTAACCTGGTAAACATACGATGTTCAGGTTGTGCGCCATCTTGGTACGAATCCTTCGAGAGCGACGTTTTGAAACAATTATTTCATAATTACATGGTTTAGTTTTGCATACATAGTAACATTGAATCTCCTTACAATGTCAGAAATTCAATTTTAGTAGAATAAATGGTAGTTTATTTCACTAATACAAGCCACGATCCATCGACAGCATCTAGCCACTTTCTATTGCGCTCTTCAAACTAAATTTGCGTTGCCGCGCTGCATTTCGTTTTCCTAGTTTAAGATTAGGGACTTGGGAAATATTTTATTAATTGGATTGGAATATTTGACCTCGTCTTTCACTCCGAACAAGGCCATGTAAAACCATCCACTGCTGTCTAAAGATGTGTAACGTGTTTTCTTTTGGAAGAACCGCAACCTTTCAGTGCTGCATTGACTTTGGCAGAATTAATATATCCTTGTGGAGATGAAAGGTATGCTTATGCGAAACCAAGATGTGCACCTGTTATGACAACATAGTTGAGTCAAACGTTTTGAATACTCGTACATCACACACATTTTCCTGCGTGCATCGGTTGTACGTATAGTAACATGCACATTTTAGCACATGCATCAAATTTCCCTTGATTATTGAGCTATAGGTTTTTGACGAGCTTTTGTGTATGATTTTCATTCCATAGAATTTGTATGCTGTTCTAAAGAATACTACATTTTCAGCTTTTTCATTCATTCAAACCGCGTGTTGAAAGTAAGTTTTGTAATGTTGCGTGTTGGTTTCCAACATCCTTAAATCGGTGATGCCAGTAAATCTTTAATACAAAAAGAT